ATTATCCAGTTCTATAAAATACATCAATCTATAATCCTTAGATACGGGTTTTATTTAATAGCAAGAAAACAAAAATCTTTGGATGCAGAGGTAACACAGCTGTTGTTGTTGACCGCCTTCAAGTCGAGCGGGTCTCAGAGCGACCCCATGAAACGAAGACCTGAAGCCTTTCCACAACTATTGTCGTTTCTCCAAGTTTTTAGGGGAGACTGAAATTGTTAATAGTTTCCTCTTAGTTGGAACCACAATGAATAATAATATCCTTGGTCCCAGCAGTCAGGAGATCAAGAGAGGTGTGACATTGGGGTGATCAGGTGTCAGGGACCTCTCTCTCGAAAGTGCTGACGAGCAAAGCAGTGCATTTAAAGACTAAGGTGTGCCTGATTCAGGACAGAGTCTTGTTCAATCACTTGCAATGCATCTTGAAGGCTGGACAATGAATAAAGTTGGCAGAAGAAGAAGAATGGATTCTTTTGAGCTGTGGCGTTGGAGAAAAGCATTGACAATTCCCTAGACTGTCCAAAGAAGACACAGCTCTGTCTTGCGGGGTGATTTGTACAGGCCAGAATAGGGAGACCTGCTCTCACATCCTCTGGGCATGTGGCCAGGACGGCCAAAAGGAGTTAGAATGGATTCAGTGACACGAGTCCAGTTTTGGCAACTGGAGTCTCTGGATGGGCTTAATTTAGGCTCTGTGATGTTTAAAGCTGTCCCAGGAGGAGTTCAAACATCAGCAGGGTCAAGCATGGTGGACAAGCAACCAGTGTTACGAGAGATTAGGAAAAACAAGGCTTGGCAATCACCTTCCCAAAATCATCAGGCGAACGTCCTACAAAGATCAGAATATGGTTCCAGAATACGGTTCCATGAAGGGCCATAGCATGAGCCTTCAGGGTTGGGAAATCCTCTGTCAAAAGCAAACGCCGTCCTGTGCAGGTGATGTCACCCCACAGCAATCACCGGGGACAGAGACAGAAATACCCAATAAGGACCTCCGGAGGAGAAAAGTCTTTTCTCCCAAAACACACCTCAGCAGAACAAGACCAGGGACTCCACACCTGACCCCTTTGCCACGACACCCACAGTGCATGCTGACAGTCTTACACACCTTCCAAGGGGCAGCACTTCTGCTCATGTAACCGTATTCTGTTCTTAGATAAATAGTACCCATTATAGCATATAA